TATATATATATATATATATATATATATATATATATATATAAAAGAAGTTATACCACAGATTATTGTATGTATAATTAGAAAATAAATGATTTTGCACATGATACAATTAACGAAAATCGACTAGAAAACATGGCATGATTTTTCTAATTTAATTATCGTATTTCTGATTTTATTTAGATATGTTATTTTTATTGAGCTTCGCGTAACATTTCGTCATATTTAAGTACTTAATAGGAAAACAATCTATCAAAGCTTTCTTTTAATTAAGTAAATGTAAGTCTATTTTGAAATCGTGTTTCAGCAGAAAAACATGATATTAGATCTGTACAATCAACACTTGTTTTAATCCATGCGATTGATAAGCAATAATCAACAATCAAAATAATTTTTTCAGATTTATAAGAGATATATTTAGTAATTTTTCTAAGTACATTAAATGAGCCAATTTTAATTTCACGTATAATTCTATATGTCGCACCAAATCTGTAACCAGATTTTAAAAGCTCAAAAATTCCATAAATAAGAAATTCCAGAATATAGAGCGCAGCTCATAGTTACACAATTTTCTACGAAAAAAATTTCAAAGATCATTTAAAATAGGAAAAAAAATACAAGCAATAGTAGAAATTAGTTCCACCGTTTCACCGCTACGCGGCATTTCAGTATCCATAAATTGACTAAATTTTCATCTGCAAGAAAAACTGATTAGATGATTAATTTGTGAATTTTTACAATTATATCTTCCAAACTAGGTCCTCAGCTTTCATTCTATGTATCATTTACATATTAAAATGTATGTATGAAGATTGCAAATTTTTTTCAATAAATCGAGGCATTCTCTCGTCCAAATAATGTTTATTTTTTAATCGGTAACATTGGGAATGATATTAAAATAATAAGATATATATATATTAGCGCAGTATAGTTTAATATTTCGTAAACAAAAGAAATTATATGACTGGAAGATGGAATTAATAAAAATTAAAAATGTTTATTTAATGTCACTTACTAGATTTATATTTTACAAACTCCAATGCATTAAGTAGCATAAATACAGACAACACTTCATTGATAGATTAGATATAGTAAATTAGTTATTGAACTAAATGTAGAAAGTGACAAAAAATTTATCTATACATTAAAGTCATGAAGATAATTTGTGCTGCAAAAACATGTAAATACTCTTTAGAGAGTGAAGACTCGACCAATGTTAAATTTATTCATTTCCCAAACAATGATACGTAAGTTTTGTCAAGTTATGAATTAAATTCTTCTATTTATGACACTGGTTAGATGTATATTCATAATCTATAAGCAAAAAATTTTCTTCAAATTATATAGAATAATATTTTTAATTAATTGTTTTTCTTTGTCAGCAATCAAGTATTTTATTTTATAATTTGTTATAAATTATTTCTCTACAGATCAAAAATATGGGCACATCAGTGTGATAGAACAGATCTTTTAACAAAATCTAATGAAGAATTGTATTTAAACTATTACGTATGTTCTCATCATATAGAGGATCGTTATTTCATAAATAAAACAAATCCTGTGATAATAGATCAACATGCTATTCCAACTTTATTTGAATCTCATACTAGTATTGAAAAAGGTTCAAGAAATGTTTTTGATAGAAATGAACAAATAGCTGATAATGTGTTATCATATTATGATATGGATGTTGAAATAGATCAATATCATGATATGAATATTAAATTTTCAAATTTATGTAGAATATGCCAGGAATCATGTTTGGATGGTATAGAAATATTTTCATTGAAAGGGATGGATTTAAAACTAAGAGAAAAAATAAATTTACATCTACCAATTACAGTTGATAAGGAAGATATAATGCCACAAAAATTGTGTATGAACTGTTATAACAGATTAGAAATTGCACATTCGTTAGCTGTAACATCATTAAAAACAGACATGAGGTTAAAAAAATTTTTGAACATTAATGTAAAAGTAAGTAGCTATTGATTAATTTAATTTTTAATTAATATGGATCATAATAATAAGAGATTTGTATATTGTTTTACAGCTAAATTATGATCATAGATATAGTGCAATAGTAAAGAAGTGTTCCGTAGAAATAGCTGAAGAAATGTATATGAATGAAACAACTGAAATTACATCTGTAGAGTTATCTTCTGACAAAATTAATGAAATTTCTATGAATCACGAAGTCACTGAAAAATTTAATAATTTACAAAATATTAACATGCAAAAAGATAATTTTAAAAATAGTATAACAAAACAAGTGCAGTCTGATTTAAATTGCTTTATTGAATCACACAATAAAGAAATTAAAGAAGATGAATGTACAACTGGTATAACAAAAGATTATTCAGAAAATAAAACATTAAATAATACAATTCAATGCATTTATTGCAAGAATGTGTTTAAAACACAAGAAATATTTGAAAATCACAAAATGTTGTGTGTTGAAGGAAAAATAGTCATACAAAAGGAAAAAAAAAACACTAATAATAAAGAATCTGATAATATAAAAATAATGAACTTCCAATTTGTAACGAAAACTTGTAATATTTGTCATGAACATTTTGAAACTGAAAAACACTTTATTGAACATATCTCATGCTGCAAATTTCTTCAAGAAGATTATCGAATTACTGACCATAAAGCAATCGCAAAGACGGAACAGTACAATAACTACAGAGATTCCTACAATATTAATAATCTATTGATAGAAACTAATAAAAAATGTGGCCACTGTAATTTGATTTATAACACTAAAAAGGAATTATTAAATCATATTATGGAATGTCATGAGGGTCAACTTTTATTTAAATGTATCATGTGTGACAAAAGCTATGACAAATGGGTTAGTTTAGACATACATGAAGCCACTCACAGAAGAGATAAACCTTATCTATGCGATTTATGTGGAAAAAGCTTTAAACATTCCAATAATTTAAGAGGTCACAAAAGAACACATTTAGATGATTCAAAAAAGAAACGACACATTTGTGATATTTGTGGAAATGCATTTAGATCTAGGTAGCATTTTCAACTTTTAACTACTCTGTCATAAAATACATCATCAAATTTGTATTATTCAATGTTAAATATGTAATTCAGATTTCATTTGGGAGAACATATGAACCAGCATAATGGAAATAAACCTTACTCTTGTGAAAAATGCGGCAAAGCTTTTTACAAAAGAATACAATTAAGACAGCATAAACTTTCTCATGGTTTAAATAAACATATTTGTCCAATTTGTGGGGCAGCTTTCAATCGTAAGGGAAATATGAATACACATCTTAAACGTCATAATAACAGAAATGATATGTATACATGTAGTGTAAGTATCACTGTATTATTGTTTCATCGCACAAGTAAATTAACATTGACTGAAATCATTAATACTTAGAAACATTAAATTGTTAATACGTAGAAGCATTTTATTTCTAGATATGTACACACAGATGTAAATCAATGAGTGAACTGAAAACACATAGAAAAAATCATACAGAGCAAGACATAGAAAATATAAGTAAACGGCGTATCGATAAAACTATATGGAAATGTAAGAGTTGTAGTCGAATATTTTCAACTCGAGCGGTATTATTGAATCATGAACATATACATAAAAAAGACAGAATATGTATCGACTGCAATATTTGTGGGAAGAAATTAGCGAGTAAAAATTCTTTAATATATCATAAAAAGTCTATTCATTCTTCGGAGAGACCGCACACATGTCAATACTGCAAAGAATCGTTTGTTTCCAAAGAATCGCGTCTTATACACGAAAGAATACATACTGGAGAACGTCCTTACGTCTGTAAAATATGTAAAATGGAATACAGATGTTCAAGCAATCTTAATCAACACATGAAAATTCATTCTGATATTAAGCCTTATAAATGTACATACTGTAATAAAAGTTTCACACGAAAAGGAGCATTAAATGTACATGAGAGAATTCATACTGGAGAGAAACCATTTGCCTGCCAAATATGCGATAGAACATTTTCTCAAAAAAATGACATGATCAAGCACACTAAAACGCACGATGCCAAATCATTGTCTTGTGAGCAATGCGATGAAGTGTTCGTAAAAAAGAAAAGTATCCTGAAACTTATTGGTTTACATGAAAAAAATCCAATAATTCAGGAACATATAGAGGTACAACAAGAAATGGAATCTTATAATGTAAATATAGCATGTTCTGAATTTGAGTAATTTATACAGTAAATATTAGGTACTAAAATAATATATCTGTATATTATATTATGTGATTCAATTATTAATAAAAAAAACTCTGTTTTCGTAATGTGTTTCTGTTGTAAAAAACGAGAATAAAATTAATCTTAAATAATGTAATAATAATTATTTCTCAATAATGTAATTGTTAAGAACTATAAATAATATTCTTGTTAACATATTGTGTAATCGTAGATTTGATAAGAATTGACGTTGGAATTAACTAATAAATTATTCATTATGATGATACTGAAAAATGCTTATTACACGCACACATTAGAGTTCGATAGTTCATAATTCTAAAAAAAAAAAAAAAATAGCAAAAATTAATATTTTAAATATTGTATGAAGTAATTTTATTCAATAAATTAAGTACTCTGTATGATTAAATTTTTTAGAGAATAATGATAAGATAAACATTATTGTTTTGATATAATAGTTATATTAAATAATAATAAAAATCTCAACTGATAAAAAATTTTTACATTCTGAATATAATCATTTTAATATTAATCCATTTTAAATATAATCTTGTATTTGATATTTTAATTATATTAATTATGAATTATATTTATTAGACTTATTATACGACAATTTAGTAGGATAAATCAATATATTTCTTACTAAAACTGGTAGATATCTAAATCACAGTGCATGCTACTGTTTCTTTGAAAATGTTCCATTAAAATTTTGCTCTATATAAACGTAAATTATTTACGTAATCGAGATTTCAAATTTATGATATGCACATTTTATGCATTATACGCAATTCGATTTCTCAGAATGAATTTTAAAGAATGGTTTTAATGCGAAAATCGCAGAATATCGCAGTGTTATTATGATTCTATGTCATTATAATTGTAAATATTAACTTATAAAAGATTTGAAAAAATGCATTTTCACTTACTTTCCCGACAGAAATACCTAATAGAGCATCTCCATCATATTTCAAAGTAATTCAACTAGTTTATGTGTTTATCAGTAATTATTATTATTATATAATTCAAGCAACATTCAACAACAAGCTGAATAAGATAAAACTGCAGAGGAAAAAAGTTACAAGATGAATGAAGTACAAAAAGCTCAACGATTAACTGAAGAAAAGAGTAATTGTAAAAGTCAAATACAAGAGTTTTACGCTGGTAAGCATATATTGCTTACGGGATGTACTGGTTTCCTTGGCACCCTTATTTTGGAAAAAATTTTGCGCACATGTACTGAAATTAGTAAACTTTATATTCTGGTTCGAGAGAAAACGAACGTGGCAGTTGAAGATCGACTGAAAAAACTCTTCGAAGACGAGGTAAGTTTGAAAAAAAAAAAAGATATTAATTAAAGGGCAATGTGATAGTAAAATATAATTATGACATTAACTAATGAAATAATATATAAAAATTGTATTATTACCCTTTTAATTGCTTTGTTAACCTTTTCAATACCGTAGGTGAGATATCTCATCATATCGGTCGTGCAATGCCAACGACGAGATACCTCGCATCATGACATCGATGATTTTGCACAACCGACGTAGTTGTGATGAGATGTCTCGTCTACGGTAAAGGATTAAAATATTCACACTACATTTTCTTATTACAACATAATTTATAGCTCTGTATTATTATCAGGTATTTGATACATTACGTAAATCAAATCCAAACTATATAGAAAATATTGTGCTGATTCACGGTGATCTACACAAAGACGACTTAGGTCTCTCGCCCGAAAATCGGCGATGTCTGATAGAGAACGTGAATGTAATAATTCACAACGCGTCGATCGTGCGGTATGATGTGAAACCGTCCTATCTTTTGCAAATAAACGTGATTGGCACAGAAAAATTACTGCAATTGGCAACGGAGTGTTCTCATTTAGAGATATTCGCGTATGTCTCAACCGCGTATAGTCATCCTTCCAACATAATAAAGGAAGAAAAATTCTACCCACCTCCGGCTGATGTGAAGCTCATCCAAGACATAATAAAAGCTGAGAAAGAGAATGAAGCTGGAATTACAAAGGAAGCGATACGCGATATCACAGGAGACTGGCTGGATTTGTACCCCTTTAGCAAAGCCACCGCTGAAGGTCTAGTCGAAGCTTACAGCAGAAAAAGGTCTCTTCCCTGTATAGTGTACAGGCCTTCCATCGGTATGACAATTATGATATATACACTACACCATAAAAAAATATTCGAAACTTTATCTCCTAAGAACGAAATTACAGACAATTAAATCGCAATAATTTAATTCTTTATAATAATATTAACTATAATTATAAAATAATTATAAATAAAATATAATTATAATGATATTAACGCGTAGTAATGCGCATTACAATTATTTACACATATGTTCAATAGTTGTAGGTGCGTATAACGAACCAGTACCAGGATGGATCGGAAATAAAAATGGCCCCGTATTATTATTTAGAGCAATAAGAGGAGGTTTCATGCATGTGATACAGACGGATAGTAGTAAAAACAATATGGATCTAATTCCAGTTGACATGACAGTTAATGGTCTCTTGGCATCAATGTGGGATTACGTCGTACATAGGTATTATATTATTTTATTAAGACTTTTTATGAAAAAATTGATAAAAATTGCATTTTTTTTTAATTTTTAAATTTCTGCACACTGAAGTAGGTAAGGTAATAATGAATTATTCTACTACTCTATTCTATTATTCTTCTTTCTTTTCTAAAGAGAAACGCACGAACCACGAGTGTATAATTATGGATGTAGCGATTGGAATCCCATTAGCAATGAAAAACTGCAAGAGTATGGTATAGAAATAGCACACGCATATCCATCAACTGAAATAGTCTGGTATCCGTTCCTGTTACAGATTAATAATTTTTACGGTTTTGCTATATTATTTACACTACTTACTATTATCCCTGGTATACTGGCAGACCTAGTCTTGTTGCTTCAATGGAAGAAACCAATGTAAGGTTTTAAGAAAACTTTACTGAAAACTTGACCTTTTAAAATAATTTCGAAATAATACCATTTGTATAATTACCGATATATTTGTTTTGTATACAGGTTTACAACTATATTGAAGCGCATAATTTTAAATTACACAACGCTAAGACGATATTTAATTCCTGAGCGGATTTTAAAAACAGATAATTTAAAAAGTGCTTTAAGTCTTGCCAATTCAGCCGATATGAAAGAGTTTTTTTTCGATTTATCAGCACTGGACTGGTATAAATTTGCGCATGTGTACAACAGAGGTTTTCGAAAATTACTGAAGGATTCATTAGAACCGACTCCTGCCGCATGGAGGAAATATCGAAATTTGAAGATACTACATTACACGGTTGTCGGTTTAGTTGTACTTATTTTTTTGAATTTTTTCTACAGGATAACGTGTAATATTTTCTCATTGCCTGCGTAATAAATACAAGGTGAAGAATCCTATGAACGTGTTTTCTCAGTTTTGCATTGTGAATCTAAAACTAAAACGCAAAGAAATGGTGAAGTTTGAAGGGTAGGAAGTCAAAGGATTGTAAAATATCACAACACCATTATTATATATAGAATAATACTCTTTATTGTTTTTGATAGTTTTTGTTGTTGTTGTCCATATCGTGCGTTATTCTCTTACTTTTCTTCTTCAGGTTAATTGTTTTTTTTTGCGCTGCATTTGTTGCTTGCATTCTTTTTCTGTTACTGCTGATTCTTTGCTGCTCGATATTTTGGTAAAACGGTATGCGATACAACGACACAACTTTTTTGAAACAAAATATGAGAAACGAATGAAGAAAAAAAAAATAAGAAACGACGTATCCAGCCACTCGAGAATCGTGTAATTTTTTGTACCGTGCACACGCGGACCGCTTGGGACTAGAGTAAATTTGTGCTTCTTTTCTCTTTCAATAATTCTATCTTTTACTTTTTCACTCTAATTAGCAAGTGCACATGCAAAATAACGAATCGCGAACGCACGTTAAAAATTGAAAATCCCTTTTTTCTCCCTTGCTTTCGCGCTTCATTTTGCACTTGCCGCGCAGAACGCACGACTATTGCCGCACTTTCTCTGTTTTCTTTTTTGTATATCCTTTAAAACGTACGTTTTCTTTGTTTGTTTCTGCTTATTTTTCGTTTCGCATCCTTTTCTTTTTTTTTTTAACTTTATTTCAGTCGCTTTTTTTTTTTTATTTTAGACGCAGTCTTGTGACACGATACGAATTACAGTCGAGTGATCGGCACACGTCCCCGTAGATACAACCGTGCATCTTAAAATTTGTCCTAGCTCTATTAAAATGGGCCGCACTCGTATGGCGAACATACCCCATCGGGATACATCGATTTCAGGCGACTAACGACGCTAGTTAATTTCGAGCAATCTACTGTCGACACGACGACGAAGGAGTTCCTTTTTTTTTCTCTCTCTTTTTTTTTTAAGATGAAATCGCTTCTAACACCAGAAAACGATCCGTTTTGTATTTCCATTATTTTTCAATCACCTATATTTGTATTTTCGCCTTAGAATCGAACATCCCTCGGGAACGTGCATTCGCTTCACGCGCCCGGCGCGATTTCGATGCAACTTCATCTTTTTCTTCATTTTTTCTCTCCTCTTCGCTCGCTCTCTCGTTCTCATTCTTTCTCTCTCGCTCTCTCTCTCTCTCTCGCTCTCTCGCTCTTTCATCTCATTCTTCTTTTTTTATCCTTTAATTAATTAACTCTGTCTTTCTCTCTGTAACCGTCCCTTCTCCGCGCTACTATTTACAATGTACAGTGTCGTGTATTCTTTCTTCCTCGTGTCCTAGATTTGCGGTCACGACGGGACTCCCGTAAAGTCTCGGAGATCCGTTACGTTTCAACTCTAGCTTGCCGTCCTCGTCTCTATTTCTTTTTTCTCTATCG